TCGATTATTTTTTCCTTTTTATAAATTTCTTGATATTTTTTCGTATCTTTGTATTCAAATGTAGATAAATTTTCTATGAAAGATATGGGAATTTCTTTTTTAAAATTCTTGTCAGACGAAAGATTAGTTTTGTAAACGTCGCGCGAATTTAAACATTCTTTTGTCGTGTAAATTCTTTTACATCTCTTCTGGAAAATATTAAAGTCGTAATAATTTCTTTGAAAAAAATAAAAAATAAAAAAAATAAATAAAACTAAAAGAAGAAAAAGCAAGTTGAATTATTTCATTTGATGACTCGAAATCATATTAAATTTTTTTTTGGTATTTTCTTTAAAAAATTCAAAGTTGCCTAACTAATGTGTACCATAGTCATTGAAAATAATCTGAACTATTTCGTATAAATATAACAAATGTACTATTACTTTATAACTATATACTAAATTTATATTAAAAAAGAAAAAGTTACAGAATTAATTAATACAACTAATACGAATCTTAATATATACAAATGCGTATGCACAAATAAGTGCATGTATAATAATCAAATTAGTTAATTCCAATCTCATATATAACAAGTAGCAGGAGTTTTATTTAAAATATATCAGACTTCAATTCTTAACGTAAAAAAAATGTTCATCGAAAGATCTAATTAGTCGATGTCACCTTCTCATACGCTTTATACAATTCTGATGGGTCTCGTAAAAAATAAAAAAAGAAAAAAATAAATAAAGTATATGCGAATAAAGAGGATAGGTAAAGTGAGAAGAAAAAAGAGAATAAAAAAAGAAAGAAAGTACAAAGGGTAAGAGAGAAAGCAATGGTGGCGAGTTCGTCTCGTTAGTGAACGGCAACATACAGTCTGCTAAACAGAGAAGACTAAAAGAGAAAGATAGAAAACCTTGGTCCTCAACCGTTTGAAGGGCTTTGACGGGGGAGGAGGGAGGGGGTAGTTTTTAACGCCGGTATGAAGCTGTGTGATCTTCGGATCACTGGCTTGGAAATATCGCGTTCGCATGCCGTACCTAACGCGAAACTGAACTTTTGATCCTGAGCCTCCTCCTCCTCCTCCTCCTCCTTCTTCTATACACCAACTACCACTATTACTTACCAATACAATTTCCCCCATCTTTTACACTACACACCCCCGTAACCTTTTCTCATCTACTCCTACTACTATTTCTTTCTACCTAACACAAGTTGTCCCTCTCGTCTTAAACGAGATTTACTATCCACCCTTCTTCCTCTTATACGAGTATTGTAAGACCCTTTTTTCATATATATATGTATATACACACTTTATCCTTGCTCCGATTTCACAGGTTTTGAGCGTGAAATAAACTAAAAGTAGATAAAACCCTTTTTGGTCTGTACGTTCCGTATTAGTCTCTGCTCTTTGTTTGTTTTTTTTTTTTTTAATATTCTTTTTGTATTCTTTCTTCTTTCATTTTGTATGGAAAATAAATGTAAAAGAAAGGATAACAGCAACTTTTATTTCGTACGAAATAAAAAGTCATTTCGATAATCAGTTTATGAGTTTTATAAAACTCGGTGGGGAATTCCTCGAGGTTATCTTTGAAGTACGAACTATATATTTTTCTTTTTTTATACAAAAGCACCAATCGAAAGTTTCGGTTAAAGATTATTAGTATTGTATCAACTATGTTCTCTCTTTGTACTATCTAACGAACGGTATTCTTTTCTCTCCCACTATTTCTATCTACGACTGACCTCTCGATACAAATATTTTCACCCAACCTTTTATTTCTGCTCGTACAAGATAATGAAGTTTTTGAAAGAATGGCTCTTTCATGGAGTCAAACGTAAAAAATAAAAATGAAGACTCCTTTTCCAACTCGTTCGAACGTTTTAAACGAAACGTTTTGATACAATGCTTTAAAAAGAATTTATTTATAACGATTTTAGAAAAGGAAACTTGTCAGTTTTAATTTTAAAAAGAACACGCACGATCTTAATCGATATCATACAAAAAAAAAAATATATCCTAAAATTTTGAAAACTAAAAGAAAATATTGTATATTTTAATCCATTAATCAAACGTTGTCAAATAATACAAAAATAATTTTCTTAATTCAACAATTCACACATTTAAGTTAAAAACAATATTTGCATTTCTTATATAAGTGTCGTCAAAAACGAAAAAAAAAAAATTAAATTCTTTTTTAAACCTATAATCCTAGGGATTGAAAAGAAACAAGAAAAACGGTGTTTGATCCTAATCAATGTTGTATAACGACGTAACAATCTTTGCCAATGGCATTAAGTTTAATCAAGACGAAAGAGGATAAAGAAGAAAAAAAAGGGTGACTTGAAGGGGGAGAGGAGGAAGGAACGAAATCCCAAGGAGCCGTAAATTTCATATTCGATCGTCTCTTTGAATTACCTTTCGCTTGCTCGATCGACTCTTAGGTTAGGTTCGTATTTGCATAAGCAAGATGCATCGTCTTGTTCTCGACTATTTTCTTTTTTTTTTTTTTTATTTATTCTTTGAGGTACCACGTTTTGTATCTTCATAAGACTTGAAAATATATGCTTTACGTTTTTCTTTTTTTATCTTGTTTCTTCCCGATATCACTACTTGGTAAACAACATCACATTTTAGGGGCTCATCGTTGTTATCAGAATTTTCGTGAAAATTTATCGCGAAAAGAAAAAAAATAGGAAGAGAGAGAGAGAGAGAGAGAAGGAGAGAGAGAAAGAGAGAAATATATTTTGCAGAAGTGTAGGAAAATCGGAAATGTTTGGTACAAGTCGAGGATAATATCGAGTTCTGAAAGTATCTTGTGACTCGAGAATATCAGAATTCTCCAGAATTTCGAAAACTCCAATTACGTTTTGTTACTAACTCTCGTTTAATATGACCCCTTGTTTTCGAAGTTTTATTTCACAAGTAAATATTTTGCTATCTGACTTATTTCAAATAAATATACTATTTTATAAAAATCATTTAGGAATAATAATGTATCAAATTATTAAATATTTGTATTATGAAATAAATATGAAACCATCGTTCAAAATTTAATGTTTAATACTCAAAGTTAGTTTCAATATTATTATATTATTATAATATAATTCAAAAGGGAATAAATAATTCATCAAATTATTGGACATTTAATTGTATTATAAAATAAGTATAAAACTATCACTGAAAATTGTTCAATATTCAAAATTAATTAGAATTTTTTTAAAATCCAATCAGAGGAAAGATATTTTGTTCAGTGTCACACAAATCTTGAATATTTTTCGAAATCTAAGCTCGTCGTAATCAACGTAATAAGATTTTTTATATTCTGTGTCGAAATTGTTGTTTTTATAGAAAGAAGAAGAAGAAGAAAAAAAAAACAAGAAAATAATGAAGAAGAAGTAGAAAGTAGAAAGCCAATAGTAGGTTGAAATTAAACGAATTGCTAGAAAAGCGGCCAGGATAACGAGGGAATTGCATTAGAGTATCGTCCAACGAATGCTTCGTACAACCAAAGGATACAATCCTGTGAGTTCGATTCTTTCACTCTCATTAATAATTATCCTTTGTTACTCTTCTTTTGCTTTTTCTTCTCTTTGACCGTGGGACCGAACGAACAAACGAACGAACGAACGAACGAACGAAAATTACGAAAAAACATTTAATGCTCTCGTGAGATTTTTCTACCTCTTTCTCTTCCTTCTTTTATTTTCTTTTCTTTTTATTTAATTTCTTTTTTTTTTTTTTGTACTTTCTTCTTCTTCTTCTTCTTCACGTTAATCACGAGTCGTATGTATATAACAAATCAATCGCTAATAAAGAAAATACCATATCGTTAATCATCAAAAGAATTGCAATATTTTTTGTGAAAATGAAAAATAAAAAAGAAGAAAAAATAAGAATGAATGAAAAAGGAAACATATTCGTCATATAAAATCATAAATGAGAGTTTTTCGTTTCCATCATTGCGGTCATTTATTTCTTAAACGAACGTAACGACTTCAACGACTTCGTCAATCGGATTTAAAAAGTACCTAACATGTCGTTAATTATAGTTAGTAAAAAAAAGTAAAACATAAAAGCAAACACAGCGATTGTATAGTACTTTATCGGAAAATGTCTCTAGTCGAGTGGTTTTATCGATAAAGAAGTATAAATGAAACTCTTTCGTTTTCTCATGTAGGAAACAAACCGAGCGAAAATAATTCTTAATACATGGAAGGTATTATTTAAACGAATAAATTCAATTTTTCACGCTATTGTCAACCAATATCGAATGTTAGTTTAAGCTGAGGTAACCTCGAGGATTGAGAAAAGAAAAAAAGAAATCAAAAGGTAAGTTTATGAGTATTATAAACGATTGTTACGTTCGCGAATGAAATATTATTCGTAAAATAAAAGTAAGAAGAGTAAAACAAAAAAAAAACAAAAAAGAAAAAAGGACATTCTTTTTCATTCACAGGATAAATCGCAAAATGAAAACTTCGTACAATATAACGGTGTGTATTAAATCCTTCAAATCCGTTGTCTTTTCACACAAATACCGTAAAATGATATATTAATTTGTCTCATTTTTATCATTGTGTTTTATTTTTAAGCATGATTCATTTTTATCACAAATCTATAAAGTTTGCAATAATAATTATAAAAAGGGTTTCTCTTTTATATCAACGATCTACCGAAAACGATTATTTTCTCTTGGTAAATTTCAACGTTCTCCGCTGTCATTGACTGGCATGAAATACTTTGAAAGCTTTTCAACCGAATTTCTCATCTTTTTTTTTTGTTCTTTTTTCCGAACCTCAAAAAGTGGACATTAATCAATGGACGAGAAGGACGTTGTCGTCGTCTGGGTTGTCAAGGCACATTGTCGTCGATGGCCAAAACGATGTCACCCACGAGAATGAATTACCTCGGTGTAAGAAAATACGAAGAAAAGAAAAAAACAAAACAATGAGGTGGTAAAAAAAACAAGTATAAATTATATATATATATAGAGGAACACAAATTAATAGCATACCTCTTCCGATATATCAGCTATCTTAAGGAATGTTCGTAACTCGTTTTCCTTTTCGTCGTGTCATCTTGAATAATTTTTCTTTCGTAACGACTATTATCTCGTAGATATCTGTAACATTGAAAACAATAAAAAATTATATTAGTAAAAAAAAAAAATCAAGAAACATCTATTATATAAAAAGTGGAGATTTTGTTTGTGTTTAACCTGTAATCTCTAAAAGTACTTTATCAATTGTCTTGAAATTTGGACACAAAGTTGCATTTGCATACCACTAGATTTTTATTACATTAATAATAATAAATACACACACACATATATATACACTCTTTTTTATTTAATTAAACTGAGCAACAGCAACTTGTGGCGGGGCAGAACTAGTTTTTTATATTTTAAAATGTCGTAAAGTTGAAACGTTGATCAGAATTTTAGTAATAATCTTTTTCAACCATCTACAATATGAAATTTTTATGAATGAAAAATTTGCTATGTTCGTTTTACTTATACATCGAAAATGATGCTTTTTGATCGGTAGTTGAACGTTGCATATTCGACATATATATTCATAATAAAGAAAGTTTCGCAAAATACATCGTTTTTGCTTGTATTCATTTTTACCAAACAAAAATCCATTGCTTTTGGTTACGTGCTTTTCTTTCATTGGTCCAAAGAGAACAGAATGAAAAAAGAGAGAAAGAGAGAGTGAGTGAGAGAGATAAAGAGAGTCGACTATTTTGTAACCCTAGCATGTTACGGTGCTTCCCTACGAGAGAACATGGTATGCACATGTACGAGTACGCATGTATATATACACACACACACATACATGTATCGTTGGTTTACCTGTATGTAATCGAGAACCGTGACCTGTAAAACAACGAGTATACCATAGATCGTCATTATCTCGTGGCTGGACAAACGCCGGAGGTAACATAGCAAGATGTAAAAAAAAAAAAAAAACAAGAAAAAAGAGAAAGAAATAAAGAAAAAAAAATATCATTCGTATATGTCCCGTACTGAACTGCTTTTCAGAAATATCCTAAATAGCGGTGAACTACGTAGAAATATGAAAAGCCGTTACTTTCATCCAGATACATTCGTAATTTGTAAATACCTTTGCCCATAGTAACCCTATAAGCAACATTTCGTAATATCCGTTTCCTTTGAATTAGCCATTTCGCAGTACGCAACCAAACGACCTCCTTTTTTTCCTTCTTCCTTTCTATCATTTTTTTTATCCTTTTTATTTTCCCCCACTCCCTACCCGATAAAATCAAAGGAGTTCGATTAGAAGAACTTGTACGAAATCAGCACACTCGCAAATAATTTTCATCGAAAATATTATTTTATCAAAATTATTACCATTACCAATGGAACCAATAGGTACCATTTTTGATGAAAAATTTGCAAAAAAAGAAATCAAAGATAAAGAGGTGTAAAACAAAAAAGGGAAGAATATATAGCAAAATAATTTTCACAGGCACGTTATGTCAAACATTTCCCATTGTTATCAAACGAAATGGAAAAAGAGCTCGATGAACAATGCATTTGTAATTGTGTGTGTGTGTGTGTGTGTGCAATCGATCGATGACGTTTCTTCTCGTAACGTCATCCGCAAGTAAACGCATAACTGTAATCTCTTTTTTTTTTCTTTCTTCCTCTCTCTTCTTGACATCGACGATGATGGCACAAAGCAATGGCGACTCCGAGGTCATGCTCGAGTTCGCATAAGCGAGCAACGTTAGTTGTTAGCGAGAAAAGAGAAGCTCTTTTCTCTACTACTCGACTGAAGGATACTTTATCAAGTGTATATTATCATTAAGAGCAATACTGTCGACCCTTTTTCTCTCTTTTACTTTCAGAAAATATGAATAGGTACTGAACGTTACCTATTCCCATTTGACCCGACTCATCGACCCTACCAACCACCCCCGATCGACCTTCTTTTTACCGTTCGCACAGTATTTCTATTAAATGCATTCTCTCTTGAATTTAATCTTATTAAACTTTCTTTCTACAAGTATGACATTTAAAATAGGTTACAGAGGATATATTCCAGGAATTCAATCCAAATAAATGTTTAATATTACTTTTCATTATTGTCCATTTATTCAATTAATCCCATTCATTCTATTCCCAACATAATTTATTACAATATTTGTATAATTAAATTACAAAATAGTTTCAAACAAGTATTACTCTATTTATATTATATAATAAATTATAGTTAACAACAAAATTATTCTACTTAATTCATTATAATAATTAACGTAACATTTTTTGATAACATTCAAAAAATATATAACAAAATTTATAAAAATTTTTTCAATTTATAAAATAAATATAGCTAAAAATTATACTAAACAAAGTTACATTCTTGATGTAAAACACACGAATAATCCTTTAAATTTTGATAGGATTGATAGAAATTCAGTAGTAGATATCAATGTTTAAATTGAACCATATACATGAACACGTATCTTCCTAAATTTGAACAATTTTCAAGAAAATCTCTTTTATCGTACGTGTCTCACGGGGAAACAAGGGGAAGGATGATGGTGGTGGTAAAAAGCGTGAGTCGATTCAAGTCTGTGTATATCTTGACAATCGATAGAAGATCCTTCTGTTCCTTTTCCTCATCTCGTTGTACCTACCGCCGAAAGAATAGTAGCGTGAATGTCATGCTAAAAAGTAGACCAAACAAGAGAGGAATGTACGAAAATACGAAAAGCCATGTTAGTTTTGTGTCAACGAGCGCGAACGAAGAAGGCACGTACGGGGTGACATATTCCTTCGAAAGTCAGAGTCTAGCAGTTTCTACTAAGAATTACCTTATTTTCCTTCTAGTCATCCTACCCCTCCCTCTTCCTACCCCTATCCTTTACTCCTCTCATCTCTTCATTCCCCTATTCCCACGTTGGGCCACGTTTCAAAGAAATTTCTGCAAAAATAAAGTGCCAGCTTGTCTTCTATCTACTCTCTACTCTTTTTGTCTGTGTGTGTGTGTGTGTGTGTGTGTATGCGAGTGTCTGTATCTTTCTATCTCACTCTCTCATACATATATATATACACACATACACACTATCAATATCATTCTCTCGTTCTCTTTCTATACCATTCTTTGTGCTACTTTTTTTCTTTTTTTTTTCGCACGAACTGAAACGCGGAAATAAAGAATAGAAAAGAGAGAGAGGAAGTAAGATGAACGTCGAAAACCCGTGAAATCTCTTCCGTATCAACGGACACTCTTCCATCTCCTAGGACACGAGTTGAACTTGTGAATACGAAAGTCCGAGGAGTCGGCTTATTTCTTCAATTCGACTTTTATGCTTGGCAAATTCGACGAGACGAGTCAGCACGTGATTTTATGAGAATCCTAGTGGAATATGGTTTTTATGACGATGAGAAAAAGGTGCTCGATGTTTCCTGAAATTAATTTTTTTTTTTTATCCGAATGTGTGTAGTCGAGTAAAAAATGATTTTAAGGTTTTCTTTAGGAATATTTTGAATTTTGTTTGTTGAAATTTATTATTACCATTGAAAACAATTCTTTAAAAATAAAGAAAAGAAAAGAAAGACGTTTAACATTCTTGAAAGAGAAAAAAATTACAAGAGGTTGTTTCAAAGGAACTTTCTGCAAGTCTTTTTGCACCCAACGACGTTTATCCAATATACTCAAAAAGAAAACTCACATCGACACCATGACCAAGCATTCCCTTCTTTAGGAAACACGAAGGAAAGGAAGGAAGGAAGGAAGGAAGGTTGGAAGGGATTCCTCTCGTACCAATGTCTTCCATCGTTTATCTTGACAGTTCTCCTGTAACGTAGGAGTATCTATTACTCTTCGAGAAAAGGTAAACTAGTAGTCCGGTTTACTTTTTTGTATTGTTTTCTATTGCCAATAGTTAAACGTCTAAACATCTTTTCGAGAAACTCACTAGAGATAGGTTTACGTATTGTTATACTACTAGATCGATCTAAACGAATGTGTTCGAGAAAAAAATTCGATCGGCACACGGTTCGTTTATTCGTATCTTTCTCACATAGTGAACAGTGTAATTCATTCGATGTGGATAGTCTTTGTTTTCTTACAGACAAGAAACGTCTGCTCTGACATTCGATCTATTTTCTACTATCTAACCACTCCATCAAAATTTTTCTTTCTAATTTAAACTCGATAATTAACCGATACGAATTTTCGAATAAAGATAATCAATATTTTTTCGTTTATAGAAAAATTCTTTGGTTTCTTTTTCTAAATTAATGAACATTATTATTTAAATTGAAAGTTTTTAAATGTGAAATATTTTTTTTTAATAATAAAACAATAATCATTCTATTTAAAAATAAATTAAATGTACAAAAATATTCACATTTTGTTGTAGTTTAAATAATAAAGAAATATATGAATATTTAATAATTGTACACAATCTTGATAAAGAATTAAATTTACATAATTCCTAGGTAAAATAATTATCTAGTATCTTTTAGAAAAAGAAGAATAGTATTAAAAATTGTCTTTAACTATAAAGAAAAAAAGAAAAAATTAGATAAAAGAAATGCATATTCTTGTTCTCGGTGATCGAACAAAGTTTTCGAAAGTCTGTTCAGATATGCCATTTTCTTTGTCCTAACCTTTGTTACAAATATAGAACTGACTACCTTGATCGTAAGGAAACTTCGACTGAGTGAGTCTAGGAAGTTCGATCGGCAAGATGTTCCTGTCTATTCACGAACTAGCGAACGAAGGAACGAACAACGGGTAGCTGAGACATATTCTCTCTGTTGCTTGGTTCTCGTTTGGGTAACTAATTTAACCATGTAAATACAATATTGGCTTACCGACCAGACCCATGTCAGAATCCTATGAAGCTCCTTATCCTAAACTCCCTTCATTCATAGCTCTATCAATTTCAAACAACTATCCGACAATTTTCACTTTAAACTGTAAAATTTAAACATTCTAAAATTAAAAACTACAATTTTCAAATATTTCTAGTACCACGTTTGAAATTAATTCAATTTTTATTAATTGTATGAATTTATCGATTTTAAGCCTGAATATTAAATACTATTTTAATATTTTTGAAAATTTTTGGAAAGAAGTAACA